ACAATACTAAACTGAAATTCCTAAGCTTTTCAAGTCATTGTCTTAGACATGAATCAAAGTGTTGACTGTGGAAGAATGAGAAGAAAAGATTTCAAAGAAGGAGGTACACCATGCTGTTTTGTGTGGACCGTGTTCTGGCAGAAAAAAAAGGGAATTTTCTAACTGCAGTTTGTAGACATAAATGTGTAAGCAGTCTTTTAAAAATCTGCAAATAAAAATAATTAAATACAATACTTTAGGCGCTACAACTGGATACTGTGGCTGCTCACACTTCCTGCATGACACAGTAAATTTAAAAAACAAATTGAAAAAATTGAAACCTTGGCTCCCTAAAATCAAATCTAGCAGGCCTATTATTCCTATTATTATCGGGGCTGAATTGCCTTTATTTCATTACGGATTACGTTTTTGCGAAATTACTCCTGGCTTTTCTCTATGTAGTCATTCTGCAGATTAACATTTTCTGGTAGACTGCACGTTAAAGGAGGCAACCTGTGTCCTCTAAGCGAAAGTAAAAAAGCCATCAAGCGCCGAAGTGTAATCAGATAAGGATATCAGGCCAGCATTAGTGTGTTAGCTTTGTCCAGGGCTCCAGCTTTCTCAATGGGCTGAAGCTCTCTCTTCATTTGTCACCCCAGCGCACCTTTTGTGTGGGTAATTTCCCATTGGTATTGCTCTGAGCTGCAAGTCGACTCGTCTCTTGCTTGAACTATTATTTCCTGCAAGCTTCGTGCATGTGTAATGAACCCCGAGAGGATTTACAAGCTTATCAAGGGAGAAAGTGTCGGTAAGAACTGATAAGGCCTTAATACCACGGAGACAAAGAAATTTCCATTGCATCCAGCGAACGGACTGACTGCCGCTGAACTGATTTGTGAAAGATTTGATTGGGTTTCGCCAGATGTCTGAGTAGCTGATGTTTAGGAAAAGCCTCTGAATCCTTGTCGTTCGGGATCCAATCAGAACCATACTGATGTCCGAAAGGCCAGTCACAGTTATTTGCAAACAGATGTACAAGCTGGAGCTCTGGGTTTTGATCAATCAACCTTTAACAAGTAAACTTGACTAGATGTGAATATAATCTTTTTGCATGAAAAAAGGAAGTCGCTCTGTGCCTCATTTTGATGGCGGATTAGTGGATCAGTGCTATAGATGGAGGAAGCCAGCCGTAAATATTAAATAGCTAAGACCTCATTTTAAAATGCAGAATTGACCTCAGAAAAAGACAAAGAAAGTTCCTGCAGTTATTACAATACATTTAATGCTATTTTCAAACAATTAAATAGAATTTTCAAGATCTGATTCTTCATTCATAACCTAAATATTCAGAAGATGTAGCATATTTTGCAGTATTCCTTTTTAGGTGAAACATATGTATTTTAGGTAAAGACCTATTTAATATTCTTCAGCAGCTTCAGAAGCCTCATTGTTTCCCCAAAGCTGTCATGAAGTAAATCTGGAACACAAACTCCCTGGTTTTGAGTACAACCTGTAAAGGCTGAACTGAAACCAAAACAAAAACAATTTGAAAGAGAATAGTTTCATAAGATCAAAGCGTTAGATTCATGTTCTCAATTCCATTCAAAATTCTAAACACAAAACCCAGATGTCAATCTCTCCTGTTGAAATTCAAAATGAAATATTTGATTTATGTAAGCATCGTTACAATAATAAATGCTGTAAAATGACTCATGTAGTAGTTTACTCTAAAATACATTATAGCCCTTAACCCTGTGTAGTTGGGATGTATTTTAAAATGTTAAATAAGGATTCAACAAATGCTTCTCTAACACTTGTTTTACAGCTCCTTGCAGTACATTTCTTCTGATCTGTGTCTTTCTACAACTTTATCTCTGAGCTTGTTTTGAAAGCTCCTTAGTCTTCATGTTGAATCTTTGCTTTAAATACAGTGACTGAGGGACCTCTAAGAGACACGTATATTTACTGTGAAAACATGAGAACAGCTATTATTGCACACAGATGGAGGACATACAACTAAGTGTGTGAGTTTTCAAATTACTTTTGAGCAGCGGAACTAATTTAGGTTTGCCATAGCAAAGGGAAAGAATACTTATGCAATTTTAGTTTGGATTTTTTCCTTGGCTTTCTTACTAGCATTTAACCTTCTTTCAGCCAGACAAGTGTTCAGGTTGAGTTTTCACAGTTGCAAGTTTTGATTAAAAATATTCACTATTAAAAATGTTCAATACATATACAATGCATCATCCAAAATGCAACATTATTTCAAATAAATGAATATTTTTGCAAGGCATAGGTAGGCATCTCACCTTCCTCATGACTGAGAACTTACTCTGCATCATGATGGAATCCTGACCGGCATTAAACCGGAATGGAGTGTGAGCTTAAGTCACATTTTGAGCTTCCCCAGTAATATCTAGGAAAGCAGCAGTGCGTTCAAAAGCACATCTCTTCTAATGCAATCGGTGTGAAACTTGTTTAAAAAGTATGGTTCACGTGGAATAATGACATCGAAGAATCATAAGCTTTGCGACTGTTTAAGTATCATAAGTTTTGGCTTAACCTCCTGGCCAGAGGACAAGACGGCTCAGCACCCATCCAGAGAGAAAGGTTAAACCAGGTGGAGATGGGGAGGGGACAGGATGCAGGCAGCAAAACTCGAGTAGAGGCATGTGCAGTAAACACATACAGCATATACAGTATGTAGCACAAGTGGGTAATGGTTGTAATTTAAAACAGATGAGTGAGGTTGTCCTGCATTTCATTATCTCTCCTGAACTTCAGCTAAGATCTTCCACGAAAACGTTTAATTTGCAAGACTGATTGTCCTTCTTCGCCCAAAATCTGAAGATACAGTATGAACAGACAGACCTCAGCCCGGTTCCCCACGGGGACCCCTGGGTGAAAGGAGGGCCGCAGTCCAGGGATAGAGGAATGACCGAAGCCTTTGGTTTAGAAAAAAAACAACCTCTTTTTCGAGTGGCGAAACTATTGTCAAAAACAAAGTACGTAAGGGAATAAACCGCCACCAGCCAAAACGGCACCCAAAATTGAACTCTTTCCTTCCTGTAAAAATTCATGACTTACAAAGCAAGATTTGCTATTTGAATCGAATATATGAATCTGTCAAAGAAGTGGAGTGACGTGTTCTAGTTATTTATCTTCAGGGTCATTAGTTTAATGAGCACGTACAGTATTCGCCGGCAGCACAGAGGGGAATCAGGTGCCACATGATATCCAGCAATATGCTCAACAAGTAATTTCTCTCTGAATGGGAAGGTAATATGAGCCACTGTTGTTGCCCTTTGCGCACCGTCAGGCCCTGACGCTATAATCAGGATGCTCACAGCCATCTCCTCACCTCACAAAGGGCGTAGCGGGTGCCAAAGGCAAAGGTACAAATTAAGAGCAGCGACTTCCCAAACCATGGCTGTGTAGTGGCCAATCTACCACATACATTATTGTTAGGACTTTAATTACAGCGCGTGTCAGAATCCCCCGATAACATCATAATGTTATGATTCCTGAAAAGAAATGTTTTACTTAGGGAGCTAAAAAGCAGCTCAGGGTAAAAATCACATCCAAAGACAATCAAGCTGCTGTCATGTCAGCTGTTCAATTCAAAATAATTTCCTACGTTATTTCTTAAAGGTACAGGGCCTTGCACAAAGTATTCAAACCCTTCAGGGGTTTTCAGATGTTGCTGGATTATAAATGATACCAGCACACGTTTTTCCAATCTGTATTTGTATCGCACACTCACATGCTCAAACAGAATGTTTTTAAAGAGTAAATTAGTCTTTTTTTCAGCAGATATCCTGAAGAAAAATGCTGATTGGAAAACGATGTGTATCATCTGTATTTCAGCAACATTTGAGAACTTTTAAACGGTCTGAATAATTTTGCATTTTGTCTCCTGCCTCCCTCCTCCAACCCAGCTTCACCCGTAGAGCTGCCCCTTGGTCACTGCGCAGTCTGCAGGGGGTCCCAGCCTCCTCGTCCTGTGGCCAGGGGGCTGGTCCTCACTGTCTGGGTCAGTGAACATCCTCAAACCTCGAATTCTTCAGTTTTGTTGTTCTTCTTGCAATGTAACTTCTATCGACAATAAACAGTAAGGAGTACTAAAATGAAACTAGATAAAGAAAATCAATGAAAAAATAAGTGTCACTGTGCAACATCCCTGTGTGACAGAAATGAAAACTGATATGATGCTGTTTGTCGACAAGTTTGTTGGGTGTCGGTGTAGTATTGTTCCTTGAAATACTGCACCAGAATTCGGAGCCCAACAGCGATTGCTTTGTTTGTCTGTCTGATACAAATGCCGTAAAGTTTTAAAAAAATGACCAACATGAGCTGCTGTTTCTCACCTGAGTCATGAAGACCGCCTTTTTGCTATCGGCATGATTGATGGAGTCCGGCCTGCGGAAGAAGGTGCCACAGTTTCTTCTTCAGCAATGAGCAGGTCAGTCCAGAGAGACCGGGAAGCTGGCTCTGGGAAGGACAGGGGTCACTCCACAAACTAGCACATCCACTTGCTACGTGTAATCACGTTCGGACTGCAAAGGCTACAGCAGAAGAAATAGTCTGCTTATCAGCAGAACATTTGCAGCTCACTCTCTGCATGGATGGAGACCATTCAAGGTGGACAGCTGAGAGATTAAACAGTCTTCTTTTCCTGGCCCGGGACAATGTGGTTTTGCAAACAAGAAAGTGGCGGGGTGTCTTGTTCACTGATGAATGCCATTGTGCTCTTCACACACCTGAGGGCAGACAACTTGTTTGAAGAGGTTGCAGTGAGCGTTGTGTTGCTCAAGCCGTTCAGTGGGAGAGGGGGAACATGATGATGAAGGGACGCAAGACAGGGAATACCCTACTACTGATGACATCCTCCAGCCCGGAAAATTACACTCATGGAAGCCAGCCTGGGAATCTTGGGTCTTCCAGCATGACGATGCAAGACCCCACAGTGATGTGACCTGAAGAAGGGATATGTCAAGACTTCCGATGGCCTACGTCTCCTCCAGACCTGAGTCCTACAGAACACCTGTGGGATCGGCTTTATAATACTATCAGCAGGAGACAACCGCCACAAGCCACCATTCACCAGCAGCTGCAGCTGGGCAGGAAGAGTGGCGGAACATCCCACAGCTGTCTGTCCAGCCCTGCGTGTCAGGAATACTTAGGAAGGTCATACGGACAAAAACAATCTTTTTGTCTGCTCATTTTGATTCACGTTTTGATAGTGATTAATATGTATGTCCAAACCATTTGATTAAATCTAGAACACACACATTTCTTTAATGTATGAGTTTCTTCTCAGTATTAGTAAAATGTAGCTCATGTAAAGCAGAGAAAAGAGGAATGGGATTATTGTAGCAAGCTGAAAAAGGCATTTATATTCCTTCTTGGAAAAGCTGGCAAATTATTGATTTAAGACAGGTGTCTTTAATGGGGTAAAAAAGATTTTTCAAAGAAAGACTGCCAGGTTTTTAAGCGCTCTGTTATGCAGCACAAGCATATTTCTGAGTTTTTTTTCATCAGTTTTGTAAGCATGCTCTTGGTGGTGCATTTGGCGAAGTCAGTTTTTGATACAGAGGAGTGTTTGTCGTTTGTACAACTAACGACTATTTCTTTTTGCTTCCCTGTTTTTTTTTTTGCAGTTGACTTTTTGGCAAAATACTGCATTTTCAGCCCGGAGAAGTTGGCTGTGTTTAAAAGAGCTTTTGAAGTGGTAAGTGTTGTACCGACTTAACATCGTCCCCACACAGCCAGAGCCATCAGAGATCAAGACGCTGGAAGCTGAGAATTGCAGTGCACTACAGTGTATTGCTTCACACTCCAATGTAACTATACAACACAGACACACTTTTTCTCCCACAAGAACAATTTTATTTCCGCTCCAGCCTTTATTCTTTCTTAAATTCTCTCTGTTCCTTAGCCAGAAAGGAGGACTGGATCTCTCCAGAAAGGAGCCACTGGCCAAGTGGAGGGGCAGGCGGTCCCTGGTGCATTGTGATCTGAATTCACGATTAGGCTAGCCTGTGTTTAATGTGGGCAGCATGGAGGTGCAATGTTTAGCACTGATGCCCCGCTTGCTGGGGCCCTGGGTTTGAGTCCAGGCCTGGGGTGCTGTCTGTGTGGAGTTTGCATGTTCTCCCCACGTTTGTGTGGTTTCCTTCTACAGACCAA